TTCATTTCCGCAAGGTTAAATCTGTTATGTTTTCATAAGGTTAAATCTGTGACACTTCCGTATTGTTAAGTCTTATTCAATTACGTTAGGTTAAATCCGTTACATTTCCCTAGGGTCAAATCTGTTTCGTTTCCGTAGGGTTTAACCTAACGGAAAAGTTACAGAAATTGACCACACGGAAAAGTTATAGTTTTAATTTTACGGAAACGTTACAGATTTAATCCTACGGAAATGAAACAGTTTTAACCTTACGTTAAGTAAAAGTTTAAAACTTACGGATGCAACAAATTACACCCTACAGAAACGAAACTGATTCAATCCTCTAGAAATGAAGTGGATTTCACCCTACGGAAATATAACAGTTTTAACCTTAGGGATACGTTACAGATTCACTGACGGAAATGTTACAAAATTTAACCTTACGGAAATGACACGGTTTTAACCTTACGGAAATGATTCAGTTTTAACCTTACAGTAATGATACAGATTTCACCTTACGAACATGAAACAGTTTTAACTTTTCGGAAATTAAACAGTCTTAACCTTACGAAATAAGTTTTAATCTTACGGCAAAGAATAAGTTTTAACCTTTTCGGAAATTAAACAGTCTTAACCTGACGGAATAAGTTTTAACCTTACGGAAAAGAATAAGTTTAAACCTTAGGGAAATGAAACAGTTTAAGCCTTACAAAAAATATTCAGTTTTCACCTTAGGGAAATGAATCAGTTTTAACCTTATGAAACAGTTCAAACCTTACGGAAATAAAACATTTTTAACCTTACGGAAATGAATCAGTTTTAACCTTATGAAACAGTTCTAACCTTACGGAAAAGATACAGATTTAACCTTACTGAAATGATGCAGATTTACTGACAAAAATGTAACAATATTTCGTCATGGAAATTTGTAACAGATTTAACCTTACGGAAATGAAAAGTTTTAATCTCACGGAAACATTACAGATTCATTTACCGAAATGCAACAAATTACACCCTACAGGAACGAAACTGATTAAATCCTCCAGAAATGAAGTAGATTTCACACAACGGACATGAAATTGTTTTTACCTAACAGATACGTTACAGATTCTTGTACAAAAAGCTAACAGATTTTACCCTATGGAGAAGTTACAGTTTAAACCTTACGGAAAAGTAACAAAAATCGACCACACGGAAAAGTAATAGTTTTAACCTTACGGAAACTTTACAGTTTTAATCCTACGGAAATGAAACAGTTTCAACCTTACAAAAACGTTACAGATTCACTTACGGAAATGTTACAGACTCAATCGTACGGAAATGAAACATTTGTAACCTTACGAAAAGTAATAATTTGATCTAACGGAAACGTTACATATTCACTTACGGAAATGATTCAGATTCAAGCGTACGGAATCGTAACAATTTTAACCTTACGTTAGCGTTACAGGTTCACATACGGAAATGCAACAAATTACACTACAGAAACGAAACTTACTTAATCCTCCAGAAATGAAGTGGATTTCACTCTACGGAAATGTAACAGTTTTAACCATAAGGATACGTTACAGATTCACTGACAGAAATGTACAAATTTAACCGTACGGAAATGAATCAGTTTTGGCCCTACAGAAATGTAATAGATTGAACCTTACAGACAAATTTCAGATTTAACTATACGAAAATGAAATATCTTTTTTACTTTAAGGGAACATTACAGATTCATTAACGGAAATGTTACATATCTAACCCTACGAAAAGGTTACAGTTTCAATCTTACGGAAATGAACAGTGTTACCCTCACGGAAACGTTACAGATTCACTGACGGAAATGTTACAAATTTAACCGTACGGAAATGAAACGGTTTTAACCTTAACAGAAATGATACAGATTTCACCTTACGAAAACAAAACTGTTTTTACCTTACGGAAAGGAATCAGTTTTTAACCTTACGGAAAGTAATAACTTTAACCTAACGGAAACGTTACATATTCACATACGGAAATAGTTCAGTTTCAAATCGTACGGAAATGAAACAATTTAACCTTACGGAAACGTTACAGTTCACTTACTGAAATACAACAAATTACACCCTACAGTAACGAACTATATTTAATCCTCCAGAAATGAAGTCGGTTTCACTCTACGGAAATGTACATTGTAACAGTTTTAACCATAGGGAAACGTTGCAGATTTACTGACAGAATTGTGAACCTCACAGATGAATTGACGGAAATGTTACAAATTTAACCGTACGGAAATGACACGGTTTTAACCTTACGGAAATGAAACAGTTTTAACCTAACGAAAATGAAACAATTTTAACCTGACGGAAATGAATCAGTTTTAACGTTACGTAAATGATACAAATTTAACCTAACGAAAATGAAACAAATTTAACCTTTCGAAATGAATCAGTTTTAACCTTACAGAAATGATACAGATTTCACCTTGCGGAAATGAACACGTTTAACCTTACAGAAATGAAATATTTTCGACCTAACGGTAATGAATCAGTTTTAACCTTACGGAAAGGATACAGATTTCACCTTACGAAAGAGAAACAGTTTTAACCTTACAGAAAACACCCAGTTTCTTACGAAAATGAAACAGTTTTAACCTTACGGAAATGAAACAGTTTTAACATAACGGAAATGAAACAGTTTAAACCTTACGGAAATGAAACAGTTTTAACCTTATGAAAATGAAACAGTTTTAACCTTACGAAAATGAAACAGTTTTAACCTTAAGGAAATGAAACAGTTTTAACCTCACGGAAATGTAACATATTTACCTTTACAGAAATGCCACAGATTTAACCTTACGGAAAAATTACAGTTTTACTCACGGAAATGTAACAATTTTTGATAGATTTAACCTGACGGAAATTAAATATTTTTGACCCTTTAAGGAAACGTTACAGATTCACTCACGGAAATGCAACAAATGACACCCTACAGGAACGAAACTGATTTCACTCTCCAGAAATGAAGTGGATTTTACCCTACAGAAATGTAACAAACTTTACCTTAAAGAAATCAAACTTTACCTTAAAGAAATGAAACTTTTTTTTTTCTAACGGTAACGTTACAGATTCATGTACGGAAACCTCACAGATTTAACCCTACGGCAATGTTACAGTTTAAACCTTACGGAAAAGTAACAGAAATTGACCCCTACGGAGAAGTAATAGTTTTAACGTTATGGATTTCCTTACTGAAATGTTACAGATTTAAACCTGCGGTAATATACCTGATTAAACCCTATATAGATTTAACAGATTTCACTTTACTGAAAAGAAACATACTTAGCCCTACGGATGAGTTACAGTTTAACTTTACGGAATACAGATTTAACCTACGGTTATGAAACAGATTTCCGGAAGTGAATCTGCAACGTTTCCGTCAGGTAAATTTTGTTCCATTTCCGTAAGCTGAAATCTTTCACTGTTTCATTTTCGAAGGATTTATTCTGTTACATGTAGGATGAAATCTTTTTCATTTCCGTTGGTTTAAAACTATTATATTTCCGTAACTGAATCTGTTACATTTTCGTTAAGTGATATCTGTAACTTTTCCGTAAGGTTAAATCTGTATCAGATTCGTAAGGTTAAATCTGTATCAGATTCGTAAGGTTAAATCTGTATCAGTTTCGTAAGGTGAAATATATTTCATTTCTGTAGGGCTAATTCTGTAGGGTGAAGTCTATTTCATTTCCAGAGTGTTAAATCTGGTACATTTCTGTAATTGAATTTGTAACTTTTCCGTAAGGTAAAATTTGTTTCATTTCCGTAGGGTGAATTCTGTAACTGTTCCGTAAGGTTAAATCTGTTACATTGTTAAAACATTGTTAAAACTGTTTCGTTTCCGTAAGGTTAAATTTGTTACATTTCCTTAAGTAAATCTGTAACATTTCCGTTTGGTAAAAAATGTTTCATTTCCTTTTTGGTTAAATCTATTTCATTTCCGTAAGTGAATCTCTAACATTTCCGAAAGGTTAAATCTAGTTTATTTCTGTAGGGTTAAATCTGTTTCATTTTCGTTTGGTAAAAACTGTTTAATTTCCCTAAAATAAAATCTGCATTTCCCTAGGTTCAAATCTGTTACTTTCTCGTAAAGTTGAATCTGTTATATTTCCATGGGTGAAATCTGTAACTTTTCCGTAAGATTAAAATCTGGTTTATTTCCGTAGGTTGAAACTGCAACTTCTTTTCCGTAAGGTTAAAACTTGTCATTTTCCGGAGAGTTAAATCTGTTTCAATTCCGTAGGGTGTAATTTGTTGCATTTCCGTACGGTGAAGCATATTTCATATCCTTAAGGTTTAATTTGTTTCGTTTCTGTGTGGTGAAATTTCTTACCCTTCGGTTGAATTCAATCCGTTTCATTTCTTTCGGGTGAAATCTGTTTCATTTCCGTAACTGAAATGTGTTGAATTTCCATAAGGTTAAAACTGTTTCATTTACGTAAGGGTGAAATCCGTTACATTTCCGTAGATGTTAACCGTTGGCCTAAAATTAAAGCTAACCTATTCTTATAGCGGCTACTTCTACTATATCATATATCACATTTTTGCATGGTTAATATTTACTGTTATATTTTATAATTTTAAAACCGTATCATTTTTTCAGGGTTACTGTTATTTCTGTAGCGCTGAGACTGTAACATCGCTCTGTGGCTAAAACTGAAATATTTCCGTTTATTGAATAAAACCAATATTTCCGTATGGTTTAAAGTGATATTCCGGAGGGCTAGACCTGGTATCTCCGTAACGCCTCTAAACACCGTAATATTTCCGTAGGGTTAAAACGACGTTCAACATCGGAACACCTACAGATGAATGAATATAAAATAATTTCTTACAGGAATAACTACATTTCTGTGAGGGAAACATAATATACGGGATACTATTACATATATCAACAATGATATATGTTTAGTTTGTTCTTATTTTGTTGTTACACTGTTATCCAATCGCATTGCTTATAAAAGATGTCGTTAACTGGTGATATTGTCTTAGTACCTCAGTGGGAACTCTGTCGGTACTGCAGTAGGCTCTCTGTCGGTACTGCAGTAGGAGGATCTCTGTCGGTACTGCAGTGGGATCTCTGTCGGTACTGCAGTAAGCTCTCTGTCGGTACTGCAGTAGAATCTCTGTCGGTACTGCAGTAGGAGGATCTCTGTCTGTACTGCAGTAGAATCTCTGTCGGTACTGCAGTAGAATCTCTGTCGGTACTGCAGTAGGATCTCTGTTGGTACTGCAGTAGAATCTCTGTTGGTACTGCAGTGGGATCTCTGTCGGTACTGCAGTAGAATCTCTGTCGGTACTGCAGTAGGATCTCTGTTGGTACTGCAGTAGGCTCTCTGTCGGTACAGCAGTAGGCTCTCTGTCGGTACTGCAGTAGGCTCTCTGTCGGTACTGCAGTGGGATCTCTGTCGGTACTGCAGTAAAATCTCTGTCGGTACTGCAGTGGTGTTAAACTACGCCCTTGTACAAATAGGTTCCGTCAACGGACGTCAGACCGAGTACACAGTTCGCATACCCACGTGTACCGCCGGGACTGCGGCCATTGTTTTATCGCCTTATCGTTCTATGTAATTCGCTATCACACGACGTGGAGCCAGCTGATACCTGGCTGTTTCCGCGTTTAACCCGAGTTGTGTACGAGTGTCTTTAAATGTGCTAGAATTTTAACGGTCCTCGTCTTCATACATGCTCGTCGGTAGTTTTGTTTGACTTTTATGTATACAAATACGGGGTAAACTGCCAGTATTGTGTACTCAGATGAATAAACAAGATTTTTCTCATTCCGCTCGGATGCGTATTCAGATACTCTGTCTACCGCTAGCGTCAAACTGACGTGATCCTAATACAGTATTTTATGTATCAATTTCCAGCCCCGAGACAGAAATGAGTATTTCTTATCAATTCTGTTTCGCGCATGCAAGAAACACATAAACCTAAGCTCGAAAGGCCGAATTCATGACAAAACACATCCTAGTTTTTCTCCAACAGCATGTGTAATGGTGGTGAGATCAAATGAAATAGCTGTAGATCTCCGCGGTGGCGTGCTCTGCGGTACAACGACCGGGCTCGCACCGCGGGGGGAATACGACAACGATTGAAACAATGAAAGCACGAGCTACTTTAGCTAGACGAGGTAATATCCTGTTTGTACACTCTTAAAAGTCATACACAAAATATATTGTTTCTATGTTTTTTATCGGTTCAACTTTCTGAAAAATATATCACAAACGACCGTGAAGAACTTGAGGCGATATTTCGCTGATTGTTCCGCACGCATAAAGTGTATTATGTAACGCCAACATTAACGTATAATTCACAACATCTGTCGTCAATACATTGAATATCTACACGTTGATGCGTTTGTGTGTGTATATGTGTGTACATTTAAATGGCGCGAGCGTGTGTATGCATTAACACGTTTTATAATTGTCCACGTGTATATTTGAGACTAAGTGGGCTAGAGATGTTATCAGCGTGTGTTCCTGTGCCGGTAGATAATGTGTTTGGAGAGAATTTATGACGCGGTGTCACTTTTGTCGATTATACGTACGTGCGCCTACGTGACTGGGGTAGTCAATGGTAATTTAAGATAATGCTACAAGGACGGATGTTTGACGATCTCGTCACAAGTACCGCCGTCCGCCGTTGACCGGCAATAAATCCACACGTATTATCAAGCAGAATGTTTCCGTTGTTTGCCTATATGAGATCGCATGCTGGTTTGATACAACAAAGAAAACAACTGGTCGTTATTAAAATAATTCTTGTCGTGTGGTATTGTGTCAAACGGCTGTTTCGATTAATATTGTATATGATATTATAGCAGTGCCGTGTACAGGGCAGTAAATAATATATACACGGATTGTGTCTGTTGTCACCACGTTTAGGGAAGGGGTAGCTATTGATTTTGCGTTTTATCAAATTAGCCAATGCCATGCTAATGCAAGATAACGTACAGTACGGCGTGCAAATAAAAACTTAATCAATCGAGTCCATTGTCAGATATAACATTTTCTCTTTAGGGCATTTCGTCGTATCAGGCCTGGCTAGTACGCCATTGGTACGCTCTATTAATTTCCGCATTTCTCTCTGCAACAGCGGCGGGAGTTAAGGTTCAGAATAATTGTGGATAGCCCCGCCGATTGTCGGCCTATGTTTCAGCATCCGACAGTCGAGTGATTTGAAAGATACGCTCGGATATTCGTCATACGAATCATTTCCTGCGGAAATATGATTTTAGTGCGGCGTGCCAGGCTAGTACAGCCTCGATATTAAATCGGTCTTTACGTCATTGGAAATAATAGAACTAACATATAAAAGATCCTTTGATATATTATTTATACCCTACGCAAATAACACACGGTATGTTGTTTAATAGTCGTCGACTAAACACAGCGATCGGTTTCACAGGTGACCAATTACGAGACGTATGGAAACAGATTAAATTGATTGTTTGTACACGACGCGGTGGTAACAAGATCGCTCCGTGGCTAAATGCCGCTCGGGAGTGAATGTTCGAGCCATTGTAATGTACATACGTAACTGGCTGTATTGTTGGCCGGCGGGCCACTCGACGCGCGGCACTGCCCACACCAGGACGGATATCTGAGCGTTTCCGTAGATCGCACTTCGTGACATTTTGTTCCGGGACCGTGGCAGTGTGGGGAGTGAACTGTTTTCTCTCTGTGCGCGTTTGGCAGACGACAACTACGGACGTGTTCTTCTGGGCTGATGCGGGTTTTATAGAAAAATACGGACAAGGTAATTTCCACGCTTTGTTTAGAAATATTACGTGCACGTGTGTATGTGTAATAGGGTTTAGAGTAAATAGACGGGTTTTATCGGCATTACTGTGTACGGTACGACACGCGGTACAAGGAGGCAGTTCCCTGTGTTATTGCGGATGTAACAACATACCACGTAAATGGATACAATTTAAATCGAACGTTTACTTTGGTTGCGATGGATTTTTGTGCGGAGATTTCCGTCGGCGTGTCTTTCAATAAGTGTTGGGCGACGCGAGGATGATTCGATAAAGACCTGGGGCGGTATTGATCTTCTATAAGCGGAAAATAGCTCTAACAACAAAGAACCGTCATTGAAGAAACCGATAGTGCCTAGTTAAGTAATCTCCCCGCCGATTATCAATAAAAGTGCCAATCGCGAGGCACGATTTACAGAGACGGATAATATTAAAGCCGCAAGCTACGACGGAATGCTTTTGAAAAACTCTCGTCCTCTCATTTTATTGCTCCGAAACGAGTGTAGTGTTAGTATCCTGCGATGTAGACGTGTTCGGCGATACGTATTGACCCTAGTTTGCTATGGATTAGATTTCCACTAGTTTGCTTTTAGATCTTTCGTGATTTCCTACCCAATAACTGACGACGCATAACGGATACGGGGTTCTACGCTAACAAAATTATTACGCCTCGCTTCAAATTTCACTCTAATTTACAAACGTAGGTTCTGTCACGCCGGGCGGGCATTGGAATGTTTTCTTTGTTTATCGTCATTCGTTAACACGAGTTATAGTGGAGCGGCGGGATTTACTGTTTCCGTGCTGGTGCGTGGGTAAAGCCCACTAAGTTTTGTGGACGTGACAGATAAGGAGTCTACACGAGAAGTATTGTTATTGATTGTTACTTGCCTCGACGGACGCTTGCCGGCTGCCCCCTGCAGGAAGTAGACTAGTACGGAGATTCTGTTCTTTCTTTTCTGATCTACTCATCACAATTCATACTTAATATACACTTGTGTCAGGTTCGTAAGCGCGCGTTACCATGTAGTAGCCCAGGTCGTGGTAGAACGATCGACTGACGAATTTAAAAACCCGTGACTTGTTTATACAAAGGAGTCAGCGATGCTACGCTAGTATATTGTTACATGTACGCTAGTCTTAGTGTGGATTTACGGAAATGTTGTTTCATTATTTCTCTTTCTTTACTTGAACAGAGAAGTTACAGGGACTTTGACGCCAGCAAGACCACGCTGTTTAAATCCGTCACACAACACGTGTGGGTGTGAGAGGCCACGACAAACTGCTGTTCGCCAGGATGTTTGATAGATTAGTACTTTGTGGATAGACTTACGCAAAACGCGATAAGTAATTACAGATAATGAAATATCGCTCTGTTGTGTGTGTTTGCCGTGTACCGGCTCTCCTTACGATATCCGCACTTGAAGTATTCATGACCAATTTATAATTATATAGCTTGGAGGAGAAAGACGCGTTTAGTGTGTGTGTACGGTTTTATTTAACCACAAGTCAACATGCCAGGGAAGAGGTTGCTCACGGACGGCTCCAAACAAACCCAGAAACGGGGTAAAAAGGGCAAACTAAAAACTGTCAACAACAAACCAAGAGAGATGGACACGGAAACAAAATCGGACAGTGTTACGGAGAAGCTTTCCGTAAGTAATGTGTTAGACTTGGAAGCTGACGGCGCTACGGAATATCTGTGTCCCATAGAGAAGGAGGGCGATACTGTCCTGGAGGTGGAGTGTGGGCCCAACAAGGCTTTAATGTACTTATCCAAACTTTACCAGGGAAGTAAGGGCTCGTGTCTATCCTTTCAGGGGTCGTGGCTGACCCCAAATGAATTCCAGTATGTAAGCGGCAGGGAAACCGCCAAAGACTGGAAAAGGTCCATACGGCACCAGGGCAAGAGCATCAAACTTCTCTTCTCCAAGGGGATCCTCTCCGTGGGAGGGGGAGGCTCGTCCAAGGTAAGTCACCTGGCCACCCTGCTGTGTCATACAGTCAGAATTCCTGTCTGTCGAGTCACGTTTTATAAATATGTACAACACATTATATCATTTAAATACATATGATACTAATATACAAGCGACACGATTGTCGTCGAGTACAATATATCGTATTTCGTCTAATGGTAGGGACAAATACGAATATTGCTTTATTACGCACGTACGTTTTGTAATTACCTGTGGGAACTATTTTGACACAGACAGTTAGTTATGTATAGGGGTGCTGTATTTAGTTATCGTGACTTTTGTTTAGTGTATTTTCGTCAGCTGCTAACTGTGATCGAAGTTTGTTATATTAAAGTGAGGTTCAGTTGTGTGTGTAGATGTGTACATGGTCGATTAAATGTAGTACGTGTGTGTAGATTTGTTGTGCTGGCCATGTTTGTATCGAGTGCTACATGTAGATATGGCTATAGACATGTTGCGTGTAACTTTGGTCGTAGCGGGCTTACATACGTCATACCTACGTGACTATAAGCCTGTTTGATTAAGCAAGTGTCATGTTCGACTTACAATAGTCGTTAGACAGCCACCATTGAGCCGGATTCCAACAAACGTCTTGTCGTAATAGGTTCTGCCATTATCAGATAAATATTCTTTTCATTGTTGAGGTAAACTGGGTTGTAATCTCGCCGTTTGCCGCCTTCCGGCCAATGTCGACTCAGGCATTCTCTACCATGTTCCTAGATCCTTTGTCCAAAGGCGATAAAACCGATGTATGATTTTCTCTAGGGCCTTTATTTTCGTCTACAGGAAATCGTTACCCCGGGTCTATTGACCTGTATACGAGTGTTACGTACTGCCCGCTGTTACACAGGTAGATCATGTGTGAGTGTTTATACGTGCTATAAATTAAAATGATGAGTATTGAATGTCTCAAATGTTTAATCAACCGATCACGCCGAACATTTAAATAGGAACCTCGACTACGGAATTGAATTAGCTAAATTTTAAGACTTTTTAGAAATATTTTTTTTTTCGCAAACGAACGTTTCAATAATCCTATTTGGCTTTGTCGTCAGCTATTTCAAGCATGAACGAGGAAATGGCAGAAATTAATTGTTAACGAGACCGGTCGGCGTGTTAGCGTTATCGTACGTAGGCCTGGCTAATACGCCGAACTGTTATTTTTTATTTAATTATTAACACGAGTTAGCCGGCGTACGTCACTCGTCCGACAGACTGTACACACCACTGCGGGGAGTGCTTGTCGTGAAGTCCCTGACAGCTGTTTAACACTACCAATACTGCACAACAGATCATTGTAATAATATGCTATATGGTTGAGATCAATGTTTTTCCGCCGTTTTCAGGCGAGCTAGATCTACAAAATCGTCAAAATCAGCGATGCGTAAATGATCAATCTTTGGGCATTTCTAATATGTATACGCCAACAACCATGAGCCCTCTGGTACGTGTGAAAGTCTCGGCCGGGACACGCCGCATGCTTGTTATTTGATTGACTGACGCACGATCGTACTTAGGGCAGTGTACAGCGCGGGGTACGGAACTCGTACACAAAATAAATATATGATGTTATAGAGTGATAGGCCGGCGTACGATACGATATCTAGCGGAGGTCTGATAACCACGTAATACCGAAACACGTGTTCCCAGGCGATCGATCCCGGCAGACAGTGACTTATATTACTACATCCTAGCCACGCACGCTACTCATAAAATACAAAATCGTAAAAACAGTTTTTTTTTTTTATATCCGTGCCTCATTTATTTATCTCGCTATCAAACTCGTTTAACAGTTTGAATTTCATGTAATATATCCGTTGACGGTGTACGTGACCTATCTCGCGGCGGTGTTTTAGTGGTAACGATTTGTCGTTAAATACAGTGTATATGTTGGAGATAGTAAGCAGCATATACTTAGCACTGGGTATTCGGTTACAGAATTTTGAAAAGGTTGTCATGAATACGGCACGAATATTTCGATGAACCGTGGACATGACTAATGTGTATGACACGAGAAGTAAACCGTTCCAAGGAACCCTTACAGAGCCTCATTATGCAAATGAAAAGTAATGATTGCTGAAAGAGAATCCATGGGGTTATATCCGATAGCGCGTCTCACTCGACGCGACGCGGCAAAAATTCGCACGCAACTGCGTCCGTCGTTATTGGTAGGACACGCACCACTGTCTTATCTTAGGTCAACTGTGCACGCGCGTTGCAAACGTTTTCCGTAGTTGCTTGGGGTGTAACACAATAAACGCTGTATTAACGGCGGTTTTATTTTTGTTCGGAAATAGACATTGCCTTAAAAGCGCTGCGCCTAGAGTCATTAAACAGTCACGACAGAATGTCGTGTTAATAATGCCGCATTAAATTGACGAAAGTCAACCAATTGGTTATTGATCGTAAGGCGAGTGGTGTCGGTTTTTACTGGATATCGGCCAAATTCCAGATAATGTCGCACACAATGATCCGTCCACCGATATTTATACAGAGTTTATGTACAGTGTGACCGACAATCGTCTGTTTGATTATACTGTGCATTTCCTCTGTGTATTGGTAAATATTTTGTTTCCGTATGTCGTAGTTGAACATTACTTGTTGGGTATATTCGTAGATTTATGTTCCAGTGATTTGTAGTTGGGCGAAATTAGTCAGTGATAGTAGTACTTGGTACCTGTTTCCGTAAATTGCAAGTGAGTGAACATTTTGGGGAAATATGTACTAATTTTCTAATAGTTGGGTGAATTTGTACGTGTTTTATGTTTCCATAAACTGTAGTTGAGCGAGATTTGTTTGTTAAACATTTTCCGTAAATTATAGTTGAGCGATATAGTTTACGGAAACATGACACACGTACTCATGTAATATCTGTTTCCGTAAAATGTTGAGCGCGATTTGTTTATCAGTTTGTGGTTTCTATTTCCGTAAATTGTAGTTGAGAGAGATTCAGTTTCCAGAATTTTTAGTTATGGGAGACTTGTTGGTGATGTAACATTTTCCGGAACACTTTTTTGTATATCAGTACTTGTTTCCAGTTTCCGTAAATTTCGCTGAACTATAATTTACGGAAAACGATACAAACAAATTTCGCAGGTTTGCCGTTTACTCGTAGTTGAACAAAATGTGTTGGTGATCTTAGTATATTTTTTCCGTTTCCGTATATCGTGCATACGCAGTTAAGCGAGATTTGTTAGTTAGAATGGTGCGGCTCTCCTTTGTATATCGTGTTTAGCGAGATTTGTTAGTTAGAATGGTGCGGCTCCCCCTTTTCCGTATATCGTGTTTAGCGAGATTTGTTAGTTAGAATGGTGCGGCTCTCCTTTGTATATCGTGTTTAGCGAGATTTGTTAGTTAGAATGGTGCGGCTC